CTTTACATTTACATTTACATTGAGTCATTTAGCAGACGCTTTTATCCAAAGCGACTTACAAATGAGGACAAGGAAGCAATTTACACAACTAAGAGCAACAATGAATAAGTACTAAAGGCAAGTTTCAGGTCTGTAAAGTCTAAGAAGGGAAGTATTAGTAGTATTAGTTTTTTTTGTTTTTTTGTACAGTTAGTGTGATATTCAAAGAGGCAATTGCAGATTAGGAAGTGTAGTGGAGACTAAATAGTTGAGTTTTTAGTCGTTTCTTGAAAGTAGCGAGTGACTCTGCTGTTCTGATGCAGTTAGGGAGTTCATTCCACCAACTGGGCAGATTGAGCGCGAGCGTTCGCGAAAGTGATTTCTTCCCTCTTTGGGATGGAACCACGAGGCGACGTTCATTCACAGAACGCAAGTTTCTGGAGGGCACATAGATCTGCAGCAGTGAGAGCAGATAAGAAGGAGCAAAGCCAGAAGTCACTTTGTAGGCAAACATCAGAGCTTTGAATTTGATGCAAGCAGCAACTGGCAGCCAGTGCAAACGGACTAGCAGCGGAGTGACATGTGCTCGTTTAGGTTCATTGAAGACCACTCGTGCTGCTGCATTCTGTACTGGACATTATTTCTGTTAAGTGACAAGACTTTTGTCTAAGCAGAGTCCGACCTTACTGTTCAAATTAAATCATTTACCTTTCATATAAGCCACTTCTAACACCAAATGATCAATTAGAAGACAAGTTATTATTTGTTGCTCTTAAAACTGGGATAGGCGACAAGACTTTTGTCGGGTAGTGTATATAATGCCCCGTGTGTTTTTTTAGACTTTATCTTTAGACGTCTTATAAAGAAAACCTATTAAAACATAGATATAATCTCTGCTGATTGTGTTTGTTTGTTAAAATTGTTGAAACATGTAAGAGTCATTACCATTTGTTGGTCACTCACGGAGCTCTTTTATAATCCAATTGTCAGTGGAAAGAATCCTGTTGGGTTTCTGTCAGGGAACCGGAGTGATGCAAATTTACGAGCTGACTTACATAAAGTCATAAGTTATCACTGCAGCACCATTAAAACGCTTTCTGACAATATTTATAAATTAGTTTATTCAATCCAATCTACTGGATTTGACGTTTGATGCTTTATTATTTCAGATATGATTGTCAGAGGGCTCTTAAGGAAATGGATGAGTGATTTTCCTTGCATCTGACTTGGATTATAAACATGCTCTCAACAGGTTATCGGTGCTCACTGACAAAATATGTGACCTACTTACTGCTCTGATGTTTTTTTTGTTGTTATTTTTTATGAAATATCCTGTTATGAAATCCATCTTTCCATTATTGCATAATACACAGAACGCCCATGGCAGTACACTTAAAAAAAAAAAAAAAGAAGAACGATTTTTCAGTTCTATTCACTTGACCTAAACAATTCATGTTTAATTAATACCATTGTGGCTATTTCTCATTTTTACATGACTGAATTGTGTTAAACTGACTTGAAATGGTCACTCTTTGGCATAACTTGAAGTTTCATTTAAAAAGTTCATGTTTCAATTAAGTTTTAATTTATACTTATCAACTATACCAATGTTAATGTGATGGTAGAATTAATGCTGAAAAGTACATAGAGATTTTGGACCACAATATGCTGTCTTCTGTTCTAGGGATGCCCATGCTTATTTCAACAAGACAATGCAAGACCACAGTCTGCACACATTACAAAGTACTGGCTGCAGAGGAAGAAGATACAGGTACTTGAATGGCCTACATGCAGTCCCGACCTGTCTTCAATTGAGAATGGTGCATTTTGAAGCACAAAGCGACAACGAAGAAGCTGCTACTGGCAGCTAGCTCTCTGCAACTCTCACATGTTAGCCCACTGAAGCTAAGCAGGGCTGCGCCCGGTCAGTACTTGGATGGGAGACCACATGGGAAAACTAGGTTGCTGCCGGAAGTGGTGTTAGTGAGGCCAGCAGGGGGCGCCCAACCTGTGGTCTGTGTGGGTCCTAATGCCCCAGTATAGTGACGGGGACGCTATACTGCTCAGTGAGCGCCGTCTTTCGGATGAGACGTTAAACCGAGGTCCTGACTCTCTGTGGTAGTTAAAAACCCCAGGATGTCCTTTGAAAAAGAGTAGGGGTTTAACCCCGGCATCCTGGCCAAATCTGCCCACTGGCCCTTGTCCATCATGGCCTCCTAACCATCCCCATATTCCAATTGGCTTCATTACTGTCTCCTCTCCACCAATCAGCTGGTGTGTGGTGTGCGGTCTGGCGCAAAACGGCTGCCGTCGCGGCATCCAGGTGGATGCTGGACACTGGTTGTGGATGAGGAGATCCCCCCCATTGTGTGTAAAGCGCTTTGAGTGCCCAGAAAAGCGCTATATAAATGTAAGGAATTATTATTTTTATTAACGAAGATCCTGTACTGTTGCCCACATTAAAAGTGCCATATACTGCATTAGTTTAATAAGCTAAATTGATCTCTGATACATAGGTTTACAGCTTTGACAAGTTCGAAAAAATCTCCAGAAAGAGTTTTATAAGCACATTTAATACTCTATAAAATACCCAAAGAATCAGAAGGTCCATGATTGACCATACATGGCTTGTGTCGTGAATATTAATGAGCTCTGCTCTGAAGTGCCACTCTTACAGACACGCACGCACACGCACACACACACACCATGTATGCTGAACACGGACAAACATAAACCCAATCAGAGTAACTTTTAACCACCTTTTCTCACCAGGGGCCTCATGTACGAAGACTTGCTTTGAATTTATACTAAAACATTGCATACGCACAAAGCTGTAAATGTGCAAACGCAGTAAAAAATGCGGATGTATGAAACACTGCGTACGCTGAATCTCATGCATATTCTCTTTGTACATCCGATTTAACGTGAAACTGAGCGCACGTGCACGAGCGCGAAACCCGTACTTGCCGCCTCCACCGTATGAATATGATAATGACTATGCTAATGGTAAAACCAAACAAAAAAGTAATGGCAAAAGCAAGCAAAAAGAGAAACTTTGAACAGAATGTGAATTGGAGGTTCTCCTTTCGGAGGTAGACCAGAGAAAAACTGTGTTATTGGCAAGTTTGTCCTCCGGAATTAATAACAAAAGAAAAAAACAGTAGAGTGGGAGAGTTTAGCTGACGCAGATAACGCAGTGGGGTCTGAACATCGCACTGATTCGGATTCGCAAAAACAAAAACTGCAAAAAACTAAGCTCCTGGGACTCAGAAATGTATATAGCGGTACGTTTTTAGAATGAGACTGGGTTGATTGAATCATGTTTAATCAAAGTGCTATTTCTTTGAGGATATAGTAACATTTTCTTTTGATAGTTTGGGGTAGGAAATGTCTCCACAGGTGCATTAATCTTGGCACAATAAAATAATTACTCATACATTATTAGTTTTGCAAGTGTGTCACCAGTTTGACTTTAAAAATTAGGTGATGTTGAATGTGTTAACAACTGCAGTTCTAGTTATTTGGACAGGTCTGCTGGTTGTGGCTACTGTTGCCAGGGGGGCAAATATTTCTTGTTCCACCTTTTTATTGATGGAAAGCAGCCCACTAATCCCCTCTCCTGTGGATGAGTCAGAAAATCCCCTCAGAAGATCTGACTGACCATCACACGTTTACCACTTTAAATCATTTCTGACCTGAAAAAAAAAAAAAAAAAAACTTCTCTGACCTTCAGGTTTTGTCTTGTTTCTGGTCCAAATATCTATAAATATTTAAGCCAAGAAGCATTTTCTAGAAAACTAAAAATTGTTGGGTAATTTACTGAAAAAGTAAGTAAAAATTAATAGAGTTTATTCTTAAAATGAGCAAAAAAAAAAAAAAAAAAAAAAAAAAAAAAAAAAAAAAAAAAAAATTTTTTTTTTTTTTTTT